TTGAAAGCAAAGTCGAGAATTTTTGATAACTGACTTTGTAAGCAGATGTTTCTATAATTATTAACGTCATATTTGGATCCTTTATTATTATATATAGGTACTGATTTGGAGGTTTTCAAATTTGTTGGGTATTGACCTGTAACGAACGTTTCATTGATTAAGTGTGCTAGTGGCTCTTTTATATGTTCTCTGACATATCTCAACGGTTTTCCAGAAATGTCATCAATACCTTCAGCTGTTTTCTTGGTGGTTTTCATAATATAATCCTCAATTTCATATGCATTAGTAGGAGAGAGAAAGAATGTATGATGGAAATGAGATATTAGTTTGATTTTATCATTATTAACTGGGGGACATTGTAAATCATTGAAGTGATTACTGAATATATTACAAATTTCCCTCAAATCTGTCACACATTCTCCATTATAATTGAGCTTTGCTACTGCAACAATGTCGATATATCAAGGTTATGTAGAGCGCCATCTGCCCGCGAATAGATCAAGCAATAATATCGATAATTATGTCAAATACAGATCCCGATATGAAATGAAAAGGAGAGTTACAAACAAACATACATACAGGTGAAACTAATATAAAGTGTGTAATAACTTACACTTGTATTTCACAAGGTTTCAGAATTCTTCCTTTGTAAATAACAACCTTGAAGTATCTTCCTTTGTGATATACTACTACGTGGTTGGAGTCCATCCAGTGGATTATTTTGTCGGTCTCTCTACCAGGTATTCTTGTTGTATTGAAAATTCTTTCGTACTGCCACGAACACAGAGGAACAAGTCCTTGAACTAAAATTGGTTCCAGTTCCTGCCTTTCTACTAATCGTCTGAATACCAGCAAGGAATAAATTGTTGATGCAGCTCTTGCAGCCTGACTCTGAGTATGGTTGAGTAATAGTGCGTCGATACCATAGAAATTTGAATTAATCATGATAGGGGATCTTCCTCGAAGATATACATACTCTTCCCACCAATCAGAAACGTAATTAGTTGACCACCACGATTTTAAAATGAGGTAACGCTGCAATTTGCTTGCTATGCCATTTTCGAATTCGTCTGCTAATTTTTCCATTTTGTCGTATTTCTCTTCATCAAGAAGTGGTTTTACGCTACGTAAATACTAGAACATACAAAGGATTGTTTGAATATCTGTGAATACTACGATGTGTATTACAAACTTTCATATAAACAATTTAATTAGTTGATCTGTTACAAATGTAATGATGTTACTTATAACGTAGTGAAATGAAGTATTTTATTGAACAAAACTCACTCTCGTCATAGTATCATGAACAGATGGAAGGGGCAATCTAGGCAATGAACCTTGATAACTATACAATCTAGGAGAATTCCAACCACTGAATAATTTTACGAGAGCCAACCAAATCTGCGTTTGAAGGGATGGTTTACTTCCCCTGGCCCTTGATTCATACATCCAACCTTTGTACATAAACAGTAGTTTCAAAATGTAACGGAGGATGTAAATTGCAGTCAACCAATATATTAAAGACGTTAGGAAGCATGCTGCGAGTTGCCACGACGTTGTAGAGCTGAAAAAAAAATTGATACTTTTAAAACATTAACATTAAAAATAACCAAAATATTTATAACACTTGGTATAAAATGAAATTTTTGAACAGGCAAGATGCAGAAAAGACAACAGTTGAAAATTAATTTATGAAGATTCATTCGATAAGAACAAAATCCTGAGTCCTTAGCAGTATGGTTTTAGGAAAAATATGTCCAATTTGGATGCTATCAAGTCATTAACTCGTGCCATAAAAGCTAGTTTTGAAAGAAACGAAAAATTTTTGGGAATCTTCACAGACCTAAGTGCAGCTTNCGAAAACCTACAGTTTGTAAAAAACTTGATAAAAGATTAGTTACCGTTTTTGCAGGCTTTTTTCAACCCATAGAAATCTACAGGGTGGTCGAGTGTACCAATTTAATCGAAATTAAACGACCTCATGCATTTATTTTTATGATATTTAGTATGTTATAAAAATATCCCTAGACTTTTCCGATGTGTGTAATTTGCAATACACTAAATAGTGCAGTATTTGCTATAAGGAAAGTTAAACAACTTATTAACCAATCCGCTACAATAACTACTTATTGTGCACTGTTCGAATCCATTATTAGATATGGCTTGTCTGTATGGAGCTCTCGGCAGCTCAGTTTCATTTAAATGTTATATTTGTCATTCAAAAGAGGGCTGTAAGATCTATTATAGAAGATAATTTTGAAGACTCCTGCAAACCAATCTTTTAAACGTTGAGAATAATAACACTTTACTCTCTGATAATTTTTGTAAAGTTACTATATGTCAAACAAAACATTAATAATTACTCTGTTGTGTCTGATATACACTGTCATAATACTAGAAATAAAGATAATTTGATTATACCTCAAACCCGTTTACACAGAATGGGCGATACTATTGATATTAAAATGTACAATGCCCTAACTCTCACATTACGTTTTCTGAACTTTACTAAATTCAAAAAACATTTAAATGCATTACTTACGGAAATCCCCTATATGGTTTAATGACTTTTCCATTCATTCCCTGGACTATAGAGCAAAGATGCCTTGCACGATTGTATGTATGTACTGTATAATTATTTTTATTGCACAGTTAAGTATCTTCTGAAGATTTTATATTTTACTTTTTGAGCATATGTTAATTTGATCGTATTTTGTGACATGTTCTAAAGCTGTAGCTTTGTTATGAACCAAATAAAAATTTGAATTTGAATCAAACTTAGTGCTGCTCTGATACTTTAAGCTCTAAACTGAGAGCAGCTACTGTAAACGATATATCTGTCAAATAAATTTGCAGTACTACAAAAAAGTGAGTACCACCAAGCTTTCTCTAAGCAATATAGGCATCAAATGAGGTATTCTTATAGGACGAAACTACAGTAACATTAGTTACAAAAAAAGTGGTAAAGAAAATTTAATTTCTCATTTTTCATAATTTATTTTCTAATATTGAATATATCATACTCACCTAGGAAAGAAATCTAATATTTTATTCACAATATTGAAAGGTAACACATATCCCTTCCAATGAAAGGCAGTAATAAGTCCCATCAATATCCAAAGATATCTATAGTGTCCCGGATAAACACCATTATGTATACTATTCTGCAAAGAAAAATATTGAGTATTATTACAAGTTTTGTCCTGAATTTCGTGAACACCAATAGTTGATGAGAATTCATTTAAATAATATTGTGCAATGGCGAAACAAAATAAACATTAAGAGAAGTTGTAATAGTCCTTGTTCCAGCAAACAAATTATTTTCAGCGGGTTAATAATAACTATCGATAAAACATTAAATATAAAATGTACACTCATTAACCAACTAAATAATTCATGAATTTGCAACAAAATGACAACTAATTAAAAATGGATTGGAAATTGTTAGATGGATAGATAGATATTCACTTATTTCTACAGAGTAATGTAAATCTTGTGTAAAAGGTAAAAGAAATACTTTGTCCTACTACAGTGTTAAATGAAATTTAAAATGAACTGTTTAAATTTTCAAATTCTTTCACAAACTTCAGAAAGCTGCTGGCCATCCCAATATCTCTTATATCCTGTGGGAGAGAGTTAAAAAATTGAATGGCACTGTAAATATTACTTCTCTCATACAGAGATTTCTTATGTATCGAATATAAAAAAATCATTTCTAAATCTGGTTCCATACTTATGTGTTTCATGATGCTTTTCAAAGTAGCTTGGTTGATTTGTAAAAAGTTTTAATGACTCAAAAATGTATATCGCTGGTACTGTTCATTTTAAAAATTCCCTTATAACTAGTGACATCGAAACCAAAGTCCCATAGTCCCGCTTGCGAGAAGCAATACAAAGGAAACGTGGAAAAACAATTAACGGCTTTTGCATCAGGATAATGCACCTGATCACTCATCATTACTTGTTCGTAATTTTTTGGACAAAAACAACAACGTAATCATGCCTCAGCCATCGTATTCACCAGGTTTGGCCCCCTGTGACTTTTTACTGTTTCGAAGATTGTTATCCAAGATAGGTTATCCTGAATTATCTTGAAAGGTACTACACCTATTCAGTTTTATGAGAAAAGTAGTTCTGTCATATTTTATTTTTGCAAAACTTATTTTGCTGAACTTTTTTGATATATTGATGAAATTGATAACTAGTTAACTGTGACCTCAAAAATTAATAAGCAGAACACCTTAAAAAACTAGACTATAATTAATAAATGTACGAGAGTTCAAAGTTCAAAGTTTATATATCAACCTCAAATTACAATGTGATCAAGGTAGCTGCATCCGTCTCACTTTAAACACATATTTATTTATAGATCAAATATTTGAAAACAAACATATTCACTATAAATTTGAAGTAACCATTTGCATTTAACTTTATTTATGAGCAAGAAACGATTTTGTTTTCATTATCAAAATAATGGTTTTGTGAAATTAGCTGAAAATAGGAATGTAGGTCGACTTGTAGACAAACTATTTTTCAGGTCAGTTCTATTGGGTCAAATCTTGCAAACATGCGGAGAACTCTAGTTTTCACTACTACCTAAACCTTGGTTGATTCATTCAGTTCGTGTTTATAAAACAAAAAAAAATTAATAAGTAGATAAATAGAAAATCGTAGGTTACCTTAACTCATCCGCCAGTGTTTTCGAATTTACAGTATATCTTTTCCTGTTCCTATTCTCAAGTTTAATATGTCTGGCAACACTATGTTATGTACTGATACAGAACAGTGAAACAAGCCACACAGTTCATATAACGGGAAAATTATAAGAGAGTGTATTTTGGGATATATCAGACGAGAACTTTATGAAACACGTGAAAGGTAAAACAAAAACAGCACGATTTCACTTGCTTAAAACTTTCGGAGAATATAGTTGTATCACGAGACACTAATAGGTGTAGGTAATGGAAAGTTAATGAACAATTAACAAACAACTATTTAATGAATAAATAATGTCCACTACATCACGTTCTGTGCTACCACGAACTACGTTGATATAATAATATCACCAACAAGCAAAACCAAAAACGCCTTCATCCTCCTTCTTCCTTCCACTCCTCACTCCTCTAATCATAGATCATAGACGTATTATTATGACGTCACCGTTACTCATTCAAAATAAAAGACAATAGTATGCTAATAACTTCTTTGTTTTTTGTTGTTTCATTTCTTAGATAAGCACAGTATGCTAATACCACAGTAAATGTAGTATTCTACTGTGCTAATACCACAGTATAGCTAAAGTCTAAAGCATTCTACAGTGCTATATCATATCAATTTATTTCATAGGCAGTGGAATTCTTATAGCTGCTCTAGTGATAAGCAAATGCGCATGCTCACAACGAGATGTTGCAAGTGCAACAGAATTTTTCGTGTTCGTGAAAAGTTTAAAAAGCGGTGAACTTAAACTTTCAAGAGACAAAAAATGACAATTGTTGTTTATTGTTATTGAATGATTTGCTAAAAGTTTGGTAGAAACTTAAACAGAAAGGGTCTACAGGAATCGATAATTTTACTGAACTATCGAATGGAAGTGAGAATCAGTTTGAAAGGTACTGTTACTGGAAGCTTTACAATATTTTGTGATGTGTCAAAACACACAGTTCCGTTTTACTACATTAGGCGTTTTTTAGATATTAATAACTTTTAAATATATTTTGTGCTTCATTCTTGGCATATATGGAATTTTAAAACTGTTGTGTTCATAACGTATTCCAAAAACACTTTATTGTGAGATTTTCACTAAATTGTTTTACAAAAACGCAACACGTGTTTCGCCATACAATGGCTTCATCTGGCGTGTCTTTCAACTCACAATTCTCACAATAAAGTGTTTTTGGAATACGTTAGTTATGGATTTTCATCAAGTATCGGCCGATTCCATCATATATGTTGTGTTCATGTAAACCTAACTATTGACTTCAATAACATCCCACAGTAATGTCCTTGGAAAGAAATCCAATGAAATCTTTGTTTTGGCTCATCATTATATTCTTAGTGACTTAGCGCCTGACAGTTCTAACTAGTTCGAGTTGAATGTTGGTTTGATGAATACAGAGTTTCGATACGACATATATGCAAAGATGACTTCGTGAAATCACTTCAAACGAGTTTATAAAACTTCAATTCTACGTACTTGATAAGAAGCATCGGAACCTCTGGGGTGAAATGAAACTATTGAAGACATATTGTGGGAAAACCGCAACGCGTGTTTCGTATAAAATTGCTATTGTAAATTATTCATTGAAAAATGTCACAATTAAGTGTTACTTGAATACGTTGTGGGTTTTCAAGTATCGGCCATTTCCATCACTTATCTATTGAAATAACTGTTTCCTCACGAGAACAAAATGTTGTCTCCAGACACGCATTTCACTAACCAAGTTAGCATTATCACAGTATAGCCACAGAATATGATATTCTGTGGTATAGTTACAACACTTTCTACTGTAGCACAGATTAAATATCTGTGACTGTGGTAAATAAGTAAATCAGAAGATGCTGAAACTGACCTTCTGATGATGCTAGCTTCTTAAGCTAAACACGGATCAAAAGGAGATCAAATTGTAGGGTGTAGTTTATAAAATATTTTGTTCTGGTGTGGGAAGTGTTTTCAATATATTGACTGTAAACCACTGAATACGAGAGAGTACCTTCTACCATCTATCTTTGTTCTGAGAAAATAAAATATAGCTATGTTCGGAAATTACAGCAAATAAATTTAAAATTGCTCATGAGTCAATAAATTGACGGACGTAGGTAGCCACTACGTGATAGGAGATCATCATGAAACATGAAATTTCTTGGTTTTTAGCACTTTTATTTGTAACTAACGTTACCAAAGTTTCGTCCCATAAGGTTTATTGATTGGTTTGAAAATGTCCTTAAAGGACAAAATTGCAGTAAAACATTAGTTATAAATAATAGTGTTAAAAAAACATAGAAAGTTTCATTTCTCATGTTCATGAGTTATTTTACAAGTTTTTGATTTCTTTTTCACAATTTGTCTCACCTCTACTTTCAAGATATATCCTACATCGTTACAAACCAAATTCAATAAAGGGGAACAATTCAAATCTATTCGATCGTTGAGCAATAATCCCGAATTTTTACGACTATTGATTTCTAAATATTCCAAAAGGTTGAGTTTTGAAACTTTCTCGTCCAAAGGCAATACGTCATAAACGTGATTAAACTCGTGCCCCTCTGCCAAAAGATGGTTTACAAATGTTGAATTCTGCTTCTCATTCAAAAAACTACGTCTATGTTCTTTTATTCTTTTGGAAAAAATTCTTCCAGTTTGTCCGATTTAAACTTTTGGACAAGAACCACAAGTCAACTTGTGTACTCTCGATCTATCCGACACTGGAGTTTCTTCTTTATTGTTGTTAATGAATTTACTCACATTATTATTTGTTTTATAGGTTACGTCCAATTCTTTATTTTTAAAAAAAGGTAAGTAAGATCACCAAAGTTAGTGTTATATCACAGCATAGTTGACAATGCTGTGTTACATATGTTGTTATCGTTATATAATGTTCAGTATCATTCTTTGAAACTGGATAGACCTGGTTCAGAGCTTTTTCCTGCAATTTTTAGAAAGAATTGAGTCAATTATACCCACCTCGTAACCGTTGTTGACAGCAGTGTTTTATGAAAATCAGTTCTCTTTGAAAATTGCTTTTTGAAACTGAAATATTCTTCATAGTCTGTGAATCATATTATTGAATGCTGCTACTTTACGTTGATATGGATGTATAGGTGAATTGTGTATAAAGTCTGTGTAAGATGGTTGGTGGAAAATTCCAAAACCATGTTTATTATCAATTCTAGAGACGGTCAAGTCTAGAAAATTATAGTTATTCACTTGATATCATCTACATATTTTTACCAGTATGAAAAATTGTTGATTAGCCAATTGGTAGTATGGATTTTATTTTCTAGGATGTTCATGAAAATTTCAGGTAACAAGAGACTTATTAGATTCTCGCTAGAAAAATTGTCATTGAATTGAAAATAATTTTAAGCAAATCTAAAATTTCGTTTTTGAATATCATGAATTGGTAATTGCATAAAAATAATGGGCATTTGAAGTTGAATCTTGTAAATAACTAATTTTTTATTTTGAGGTATTGACGCTTGTTTTTTGGAAAACTCTATAGACATGTTCTCTCAAAATGAAAGATTCTCTTTCAATATCCCAATTGTCAAATGTTCAGATGAGAAAGAAATTTCATTGGTGGTCATTTTAAATGAATTCCATCCATATACAGAGTTCAAAATAATCCATTGCTTTAGTAGTGCAGCAGGTAAACAAATAAAAACAAGTAAATTTTTGTATAAAACTGAATATAATTTATGAATCAACTATGTGTACATGTCTGAACAATACACAAGAATCTTACAGCTCACTTAAGAAAGAATGTACAAATTAAATAACATTTTTGTGCCTCTCATTTTACAGTGTCAAAAAACAAAAACAAATAAAGGGTTTTTGGAGTGTTAAATAGAAAATGGTCGAGTTGTTCATATTTTATATTTATTATATTTATATTTTGTATCATTTAACATGAAACAACAAATGGCTTGTGCTTTAATACTTGCAGTAAAAAATATACAACACGTACATTTAATAAAAACATATGAAGATATAAAAAAATAAAATAATTATTATACATCTATAAAATTCAATAAAATCTTTTAAGTAATTTATACTGCACTGTCCGTTGGACAACGAGTTAAAAAATAAATCTGTACAATAATAAAATTAATGGCTCTCATAACAACAACCGATAAAATTGCACTCAAGCCATTTGTTCTGTACAATATTGGATGAAATTCTATAACGAGTCTAGCTATCAAAATTGTCAACACGAGTTAATCATTTTAAATGAAATATATAAATTAGTACTATAAGTATATTCACAGTTACCATAACTTACAATATTTACAAAAATATGAATACACGTCTCGGGCTGTAATTGACTTTGTACACTGAAACGACATATACGTGCTCACGTGGCCTACACATTCACTAGACAGCTCAACAATGTGTACCTGAACAGGTGAAGAGCAGCTAGCTTAGTCTGTACAAGTCTGCCTCACTGGTCTGCTACGAATATTACAATATATTACAAATGAAAATAATTTATGGTACACGTTTATCACCTAACCTCGCAGTCTTTGTTCATGGGTACAGAGGAGGGAGGATGTTGCACCGCTTCAGGCAGGCTAATGGGGGGCGGGTGATGATGGGGAGGTGGCTGGCCTGGTTCCACAGACTGCACCTCCTTCTCTCTCTCGGTGCTCGGAATTGCAGGTTTCATCATGTACCCCGATCCTTCTTGACACCTCGAAAGTTTCAACCTAATCGGAGTCAACTTCGGCGGAGGTTGATCGTCTTGGACACTGTCAAACTGTTTATGAGAGTTTGATGCAACAGAAAGCGGGGCTTCCTTTGCACATTCTTTCACTTCAGGTTTAGAATCATTTTTTATCACTAGACTAGTACTTATTTCACCCCTCGTCCGTTTGTCATTGTCACTATCACTTTTTTTACCGAAACGAATGATGAGCCTGGTTGGATTTTCACCTTGCTTGGTAATGATCTGTATGTCGGGCTTGAGTTTCTTCTTCTTCCTCTTCTCGCTCTTATCTTTTTTCTTATGCTTGATCTTCAGATCTTTCCTAACCTTCTTTCTGAACTTCATGCTCTCCTTCTTCAAGTCTTCTAAAGATGGTTTGATTAGCGTGGCCGCCAGACGTTTTTTAGGCGGTCGTATCCTATCCTTTATGTCATCAGTGCCACTCTCAGAAATGATACTGCTGTTTGTGTTATTGCCAATTTTTATTTTGAGCTTGGGCGCTACCTGAATCTGGGATGGCCTAGGCGGTCGTCCCCTTCTTTTATTCAATAAGGAAGAATCGAAACTAGCTAATAAACCTGAGTTGTCACTTCCCGCAGAGCCTACACTCCTTCTCCTCTCCAAGTGAATATCGCTATCCGGTGCCAACTCCAACTGCCTAAGTTCCCTGGAAAGACTGCCGGGCTTAGCTTTGGACTCTTTTCGATGATGTTTGCTCTCGATGAAGTCATCCGGTTCCGTCCTATAATCTCTGTAGTCGTCTTTTGTTGGTATACTAGTCATGGAAGCAACAGCTTTAGGAATAGTTATAATCGTTCGATTTATAGGTTGAGCAGCAGGAGTGGCAATGTAGCCTGAATTACTAGTGGGATCGTCCATATTCATGTCCTGGGTCCAGTACTGCCTCAAAAGTTCTTTCTTTCTCATTCTCCTCAAACTGGAAGGACCTCCGGTAGGTATTCCTGCCGAGCCACTATTCATAACATTATTTGTGACAGAATTCACATTTGAAACAACAATAGGGTCTACTGTAGGAGGACGCAGTGGAACAACCGTTGAGGTATAATTTGCGATCGGTCCCTTAATTTTAACTTTGAGTTGATTTCGCGAGTCGGACAAGGATACTTTAATATTATTAGATGCTTCCGCCGGTGGAGGTTCCGCTGGTTTCTTGGCGGTGAGAGCGGAATGAAGCTCTTTCTCAAAATCTTCATCTATATCCTGAACTTGCGTCTCTGTTGTACCGCTAGCAAATGCACTCAATAAGTTTTGTTCGTTGTAGGTTTGTTGATCGAAATTGCTGTTGTACGTTCTCATGTCCACAGGACCAGGGAGAGGAGGCGTAACATCTGGAAATATTCGGGATGGTTCGTTATCCGAACTAGCCAGGGAAATATCGGTTTTAGATCTACTATCCTCTATTGGAGTCGGCGGTCTTAAATCTCTCAAATCGGCATTGTAACACCTAGTTTTATGTGATGTTTGTGAAGGACTAGAGAATATTGGAGATCTGGGCGAGTTCCTCATAGATGAGAAGGGTTCAAATTTCCTTTCGTGAATATCTACAGACCTTCTTCTTTCCCTCATGGATTTCAGATCACTCATGATGTCATCGGATATGTCATCATCGGGTTTGAAATCGTAAACAGTGCCAGCAAACTTGTTATGAATCATGGCAGCACTACCCTTTCCTCTTCCCCTTCCTCGTCCCCTGAGCGTGCCGGAACCTCTAGATGCGCCAGATTTCCCAGACCCTCGTTTGTTATCCCCTCTCCCTCGGCCTGGACCACTTTGTTTGAGTGCAGTTTCTTGCCTAGGACTTATGCCAGGACTTTTTGCAGGCGATTTGTTTTGCAACTGTGACGTTACTCTAGCTGATGTTCTAGTTGGTTTACTTGGAGACTTTTTGCCAGTCGAACTATTTGATTTCAAAGAAGTACTAGGGGAAGGCAGCGTACTATTTTCCGTTGGAGTGGCATTATTGATTATGGGAGACGGCACAATTTCATCACTTGTTGGGATGGGAGTCAAAGACGCTTGACTACACGCTGGCAACTCTGCTGGCGGGGCCAAAAGCTGCTCTTCTAGTTGCTGCTCAATCGGCTTAGAAGTTGAGGTAGGAAGATTCACCATGGCGGCTGTAAACTCCATATTGCGTTTAGAAGTTGTGAACGCCGCCATGCACGTGGACGATAACTGAATCGATTCTTCTACAGGTTTCGGCAGAGACGGTATGGTATGAGGGGTAGGAAATGGGGCTCCGAACGCTGGTGGAAACATTGCAGCGGGACCTGCAGGAGGGAAAGGTAGTTGAGTATTGAGATTTGGAGGAGGAAATAAACTAACAGGAAAACAGGATCCATCGGGATATCCACCAAAATTGTCCAAGGGGTTCGACGAAAATGGTGGGACTTGAGTTGGCAAGTAAGCCATTTCTAATGAAGAATGGTTGACCGTCCTCACGTCGTGGATCTTAACATCTTCATCGGCTTTTCTGGAATCTGAACTGGTAGAAGATGACGCGGAACTCGATGATGACCGGAATTTCGGCATCACTTGACGTTCATCCCATTTGTCTCTGTCGTAAGGCATAGGGCTGGGCATACAGTCATTAGAAGCTGAATCTATGAGAGGAGTTTGTGAGATTCTTCTATCGATTCTTTCTTGAAGTGAGGGTGATTGGTTTTTCAGAGGTTCTTCATGCAACCGTATATCCAACTGTGACGGTAAAGTATTCAGAACAGTTTGCTTTTTCTGGGATTCTTGGAGGGAAGCTGAGGTTGTATACTGATTTAAATAGTGTGAATCCAAAGGTGGAACAGAATCGTTTAGGTAATTTGTAGGGTCAACGGTTTGTAAACTGGAATGAATCTCACTGGGGGGCACCCATCGTTCGTCTCCTTCTACAGGAGCAGTATGGTCTGTGAGGCTGGCATGCTGTTGAATTGTGAGGCTTTTTTGAGTCTCGAGTAGCATATTTGGTGTGTTATTCAAGTAAGCGTACTCAGACTGCTGTGGCTGATCAGGTTGCTTGTTGATGTTTTCGAAAAGCTTCGCCTGTTCCACTTCAGTTACTTGAACTTTCAGTTGGAGATTGACGGTTTGAAGGTCTTGTGATTCTTGAGTTATGTCTTTATCTGCAGGTTGCGTTGGATTGGAAGCTAGAACCTGTTCGGCAAAGTCTATTCGATCGCTCTCTATCTCATTACTTGTTGTGGGTTCGTCTACTTCACTGCCAGTCGACTTCTTTGACAAACTAACGCGAAGTTTTTCAACCAAATTCAGCGTTTCTCTGGCGCTATCTTCCTTTGTATCACCTCTTATTATATTGGAGTTGACAAAGTTCCACGTTAGAGGACCTTTCATGATATCATCATCTTTAGATATCCCAATGTCGTCAAAATTGACCAGATCTAAGAAGTCAGTTGCGTCTTTAACGTGTGGTTGGGGTGAGAAAATAGAGCGATTTTGCAAAACTTGATTTGTTAATCCGGGTGGTTTCAGTGAATTTTTCTTTTCCGTTTCAATATCATTCAGTGTTTTGCTAATATCAGATGATGACTGAAATACTTCTTCAGAGTGGCGATTATAAAAGTCATTAGCCTTTTGGATCTGCAGGTGATCGTCCAAGATTTTGTCAGCCATGGTGATTTCATCAGAAGGTTTTGGTTGCTTTGGTGTAGGAGGTTTTTTAATCTCAACTTTATTTTCCTTCGTTTCGCTACTAGATAATTTATTGGCAAAAATATCGTCAATACTCTTACTCTTTGAGGGAACTTTCTTAGTTATCACCTTTTTGTCGTCCTTGTTTTCAGTTTTCTTTTCAACCTGTTCTTTCAATTCTTTATTCGGAGATTTTATTATCTGTTCTGATTTTGCTGATTTACCAAATGGTTTTGTCGTTTTCTCCGCAGAGTCAGAGGATAGTTTGATTGGTGTTTTTGGACTTTCACTTTGACTCTGCAACTTCTTTGGAGATGCATCCTTTTTGATGGAAACATCTTCCAAACACTTGACAGATTCGTTTGAAGGCTTTACTGTCTTTTCAGAATCCTTTGGTTTCTCTAAACATTTATTTGCTTTTTCTATTTGTGGTTTGATCTTCTCAGAAGGTAATTTATCCGGAATTTTCAACTTTTCCGGTGCTATAATAGGTTTATCTGGAGGTTTTGCTTGTTTTTCGACTAACTTTGAAATTTCCTTTCTTGCCTTCTCAGTTTTTTCAGTAAGATCACATTTTTCCATACTCGATTTCACAATTTTCTCAAACTTCTCCTCCACTTGTTCGACTTTTTTACCTTTCTCTACTTTGACGGATTTTTCCAGAGTTTCTAGCTCATCTTTTTTACAGTCTTCAGACGTTCCAAACAGTCTATCGAAAGTCGAAGAAGATTTAGTTCTAACGCAACCATCTTTAACAGTTTTTCTCTCTAAAACCTCCTTGTCCAAGTTGTTCACTTCAGTTTCTTTACTGTCTTTCAGCTTTTTATCCGTTTTCCTGACCGGAGAGAGTAATTTGGACTCTGAGGTCTCTTTTTCGATGACTGTATTATCCATCTTGTCTCTTGAAGCTTGTCTTTGACTTCGACCTCTTCCTCGTTCTGTTTCCATACTGACACGTTGGCCATCAGACATATCTCTAGGCCTGACATCAGCATCTCCGACCCGATCACTAGAGTTGGAGGCACATGGACGACCTCTGGGAGCACGTCCTCTTCCTCGGGACTTTGACTGCTCTTCTCTTTTATCAGTCGGTGGAGACTGTTTCTTATCATTACTCTTTCGGACAGGTTTTGTTGACGGTTCTGTTGCGGCTCGCGATGGAGAGTCTGCCTTGGGTAGGGATGGTGGGGGAGAGGGTTTTCTGGGAGAGGATGGGGCACTGGAATCGCTCGAGCTAGAGGAACCAGAGGTTGCCGCAGACCTGGGTCCCTTGTCAAGAAAGGGCCAGTCCTTGGACGTACGCCGCTTTGTCGGTTCTCGAGCTAAGGGAGGACTCTCCGATCGCGGCTGCGCTTTGACTGGCTCTTCCTCGCTCTCAGAGCTGGAGCTGCTAGACGAGTCTGATGAAGTGCTGCTTGAGGAAGACGAACTACTAGTTGAGGCTGTGGAAGACTTTCGTTTGTTTTCAATTTCTTTAGCAGGCTTAGCAGGTTCAGATTCTTTTTTCAGTTCCCCTTTCTTCTGGTCTCCGTCTTTTTTGATTTTAATGTCGACATCTTTCTTCATTTTCTCTGTTTCCTGGAGTGGAGGTTCGGCAGATGGATTTGTTGGTTTCCCCAGACCACTTTTTATATGTTCTGCAGCTTTCTTAGCAGCTTGTCGTTGAGGTACATACGCGAAAAGTTCCTGCGTCTCAGTTTTATCAGCTTCTTTATCAATTTCCGGTACATCAGGAAGCTGTTTGCTTTCTTTCTTCTTTTCTTTGATTTCCTTGTTGGGCTCTTTGTCTTTGATCTCCCTGACCTCCTTCTCCTTCACTTCTTTTTCTTTCGCCTTCTCTTCTTCCTTAGGGGTCTCTTTAATATCTTTTCCGGGTTTAACTTTAGGCTTCTGTTTGATCTTTTCTTCAACCTTGGTTTGTTCTTCCACAGGAAGTTCTTTAGCCCTGGAGGTTGTAGTTGTTTTCAAGTTTTCTGTCGCCTTTTTAGCTGCCTGCCTTTGGGGCACTATGAGATCAGAAGGTACATAATTCTTTTTCTTGGTTGAAATCTGTTTCTTCACATCCTTACTCTTGAGGTTTTTCTTGATTTCAGTGGGGCTTTTATTTGAATTCTTGGATGGTGATGGTTTTTGCGAAAATTCTTTCACAGATGCTTTAGTGCGTAGTTTACTTTGAGAATCACTTGTAGCATTAGGAGATTTGCCATCATTCTTTGTAAGTTCATCAGAACTATCGGTATCAGAATAAATAGGTTTAATATTTTTGTGATTGTCGCCCTTATGTGATGAAGAAATCGGCATCAGTTCATCACTATCACTACAAGATTCGCCAAGTTCTTTCTCCATTTGTCTTAATCTAGATTTCGGATTAGGCTGAGACGCCTTTTTAGGTTTGTCTTCTTCCTCACTACTGCTATCAAATTTATTTTGTGAAATATGTTTGTTTTCCCTTCTCCTTTCCATAGCTTTGCTGATATTATTTTTCTTATGAGATGCCTTACGTTTTGGAATATCTAAGATCGAAGACTTTTCTTCTTCAGAACAACTATGTAACCTATTTTCTTTGTTGTCTTTAGGTTTCTCGTCACCACTACTCGCGCTCGACATACTGCTTCCATAAATACTGACGCTTCTCCTTTTAGAAGAGCCATTGAAGTAAACTTTCTTGTAGGGATTATTTTTAACGTCTTTGAACAACCCGTTTATTTCATTTTTGGATTCATCTCCTGAATTTGTTGGAGATTTCATGCCCGCTATCCTAGCCAAGATCGTTTTGAAATCCATACTATTGTCTTCAGCCTCATTGTGTGAATACAAACGATCATATATCGATGGCCCGTGATTAGCTTCTATTACAGCTTCAACAACTCTCGATGGAAGGGAATGGGAAGACTCCAAGACGGCAGCTTGTTTGTGAAACGTCTGTTCTCTCATACGGAAAAAAGTTCTGGACAACTTTTCTCTTCTGCTAACCATGTAGCAAAGATTTCTAACTCTCTCCAAGTCTTGCCGTAATTGCACAAACATTTTCATCTTTTCCAAGTCGGCTTGCTCTCTCTTGTGTGACAGCATATCCACATCTTCGGATTTGGGCGGAAGAAGCGGCTTGTTGAAGCCGGCTTTCCTCTTCAACTTCCAATAATTATAAATATATTGTAGAGCGTCGTTGTCCAGATGTACGGAAATGTCTTTTACTGTGACGTGTTTGAAAAATTCGGCTTCTATCTCCTGAAGTCTCATCGCTCTAGCTTGGTTCTTTTCTTCTGACGTCATGTCTTTACGTTTCTTACGTTTACACTCATCGTCTTCGCCTGAACCAGAACAGATGCTCTTCTCCTTCTTACTAGACTTGCTGTGTTTCTCACAGTAGGATCTAAGCTTTACGCCGTCATCTGCGTTTTCGTCCTCTATGATAGCTCTCATTTCAAGGCCATGTTTGAAAGCACAAGTGACATGATATGCTGTTTTACAAGTTTTCACTGAGCACTGTATACAGGCACCCAGTCGCTCTCGGCAAAGAACACAAACCAGGGACCATCGACTCTGAGGTATGCTGGAGACTTTCGTGATCGGTTCCATTTTCTCGACACAACCTATGCTAACTTCTGGTATCCACAGAGCACATGATACATGAGCCCATTTCTGACCGGTCCTCAAACATTTCATGGCGCCCCCCTTATTTGGACACAACTCGCAGTCTGGTCTCTTGCCTATGTTGCAGGTACAACAAAGCCATTGACCTTCAGGTATTCGAGTGATGCCATAACAAGCTTGATGAACGCAAATATTGCAACTATCACAAAACACCATTTCGTTTCCTTCCTCAGAATCAGGAGATCGGCAAACGTCGCAAATAACGTTTTCGTCATATTCGATTCCCAAGCCTTCCTCGTTCCTGAGGATTGATTGAATCTTGTCCCAGCAACACAGTTCTAACCCCTCTATCACCCTCTCCAATTGTTCCTCATAAACTGGGCCCAGACCAGATAGCGCACGTTCAGAATTCAATATTTTCAACCAGGCCATATCACATTCATCCAGGTCGTAGGAACAAGCAGCCTCAGATTTGACAGGTGCGTTCGACAAAACATGTTCTTCGGGTTTGAAGTTCTTGTCTTCAGTAATGCGTATGTATTTGTTTTTGGGCCTGAAAAAAAAAACATTCGATTGAATACAATTTATGTTTTTGACGGGAAAACCCCTATTTACAAAAAATATTATTGCATAAATCAAGAATTGCGAAACTAAATAGCGCTGAAACATATTCCACTGAAAGTGGAATATGTTTCAGGAGAAACTAGTTTTTGGTAAAACTCCTTTCAGGTTGTTCATTTCTCCATCAAAGATGTGNAACTGTGATCATGACCATTTGGGGCATAACTAAATCTTAGGAAGGATGATTTTTTATCATTGCAGATTAATTTATTGCTAGAAAACCAGTCCTGGGCTTTTAAAATTTCCCTGTGAGCCAAGTCTACTGTGGATGTAACATTCTTACCACTAACCAGTAGTGTTGTGTCATCCGCATACATTACAAAATTTCCTTCAAAGTCATTGACATAAATTATATAAAGTAGAGGTCCCAAAATAGAGCCTTGTGGTACTCCAATAGTATACTTTAAACGTTTAGATTGATACTGATCTATATCAACGTATTGTGTTCGATTTTGGAGATAACTTTCAAACCATCTACGTGAGTTTCCCCTAAAACCATACTTTTCCAATTTGTCTAGTAGAATTCTGTGGTCTACAAGATCAAATGCCTTACTTAGATCTAAGAAAATACCCAGAGTTCGATTACCCATATCTAGACTATTACATAGCTCTTTTAGTAGTTTTATTATAGCTTGTGTTGTTGGTACAAACTAGAAGAAAAATCCATCCAAAACTAATTACGATCATGAAATATTAAATTTCTTCAATTTATTTTATTAAACGTCAACTGTGTTTACATGTAATCGCATAACTGCGTCTCTACTGACATTTTATTAGAAAAACTGAGATACTATGGCTTTGTAGGCATAGTTCACGATCTCCTGGCATCACATCTACATGAGGGAAAGCAATGTGTATTATATAATGAAGAATTCAGTAGGTCACAAACAAACTTGAATGGTGTTCCTCAAGGTAGTGTGCTTGGGCCACTACTTTTCTTGATTTATATCAATGACCTGCCAAATTCAATGTCAAGAGGAAAAAGAGAGATTATATATTTTGAACAAACTATAGACAAAAATAAAAATAATAGTATGGAAATGTGGAAGTGTCTTAAAAAACTTGTTAAGCCAAAACAAGATGTTGTTAGCCGTATTCAGTTTGAGATTAATAATCAAAATGTAATTTTGAATAAGGAAATAGACATTGCTAATAATTTCAATTCATATTTCATATATAGTGTAAATGAAATAACTTCAGTTTTTCAAAATGTACAGCAATGGACCCATGACTACCCTGTTATATCAGCTAATTTCACTGAATTCTCGCCTTTAACAATTAATGAACTAAGAAATATTATATTCTCGCTTGACAAAACTAACAAAGCAGAAATTTTAAATGATAATTTCTTAAAAAAAAGCTTTGATGTGGCTGGGTACGCAATATTAAATTTAATTAACANTTTTTTTTTATATTAGGCTTGCCTACTTAATAAATAAATACAATGTTCACAATGCTATTCGCTGATGACACTTCCTTCCTCATTCGGAAAAATTTTTGAAGAGTCATCAGAACTAAAAAAGCAAGTTATTCAGAAGGCTATGGACTGGTTCAATGCGAATAGCCTATGTGTGAAAAGCAAGACGCAAACAGTTATGTTCTCGCTGTCTCATAATCCCTCAGATAATGTGAATTGTCTTGGCATAACTACTGATTCGAAGTTAATTTGGAAACCCCAATATTGACAAACTATCAAAAAATCAATCATGCAAGGTCTATGCAATCAGGCAGGTAAAAAATAAAGTCGGTAATGAAGCTGCTCGTTTCTCTTATCATGCAATGTTTCATAGTTCGTTAACTATTCATTTATTCATATCTCGAGAATATTCACAATTAAAAAGCAAGCAATCAGAGCTTTAGCTGGAATAGTGGTTTATGAAGTTCAATATATTAACTCTGCTATCACATATACTGCAATTTGATACACTTTCTAGAAAATTTACTAAATTTTACTACAAATGGAAACAACGATTCGTATAATACTAGGAACAAGGATAATATTAGAGCACTGAACCAAAGACTAGAAATAACAAGAAGATGTATCTCATACATATCATTGTTCAATTCACTGCCCCCGTCAATGAAAAATGCAACCCTGGCTAATTTTGAAAGGAAACTGAAAAAACATCTCTCAGAGAATGCTTACTATGATGCGTCTGACTACAGCTTTACTGAGTGACTATCTTCAATGTAGGCACTTCTCTATGCATATCTGTTTTTACATTTATATGTTTATTTACTTCATTTTTCTCATATCATATACAATTTTCATCAACTACCTACTGCTTTTCGGTCATTTCAATTGCAATTTACATTTATATTATACATTACTGACTTGTCATAGCACTAAGGTGTAATAATTTGATCAATAAAAAATCTAATCTCATCTAATCTCTTAGTTGTAAGTTTTAAGAGTATTGTTAATGTAAGTATATTGGCCTTGTACCTTTGAATCCATAAATGAATAAATATAGCAATTATCGAAGTCAATGCGAAAAATAAGTCAAAATAAAGTAAAAATAAGCTACGAAGAAGTTTTAATTTTTTCCTACATACATTCGATTAGCGGTTTTTTTATGTTGGTACATTCGTCTCGAACATATGTTCACAGTTTCAGCTGTAAAGCATATTTAATTTGTTGGTGAGAGGCATAAAAGTTAGAAGTGTTTTACGATTTTTTGCTGTCGAAAAAAACGAATCAAAGAATTTGCATCAAATTTTGTGTGAAAACTGGAATTAAGTGCTCAAAAACACTTGAAAACAACTGATGAAAATGTTGAGAAAGCGAAGAAAGATATCGGCATATCGGTTGACTCATTCCACGCAATTTTTTTACGAAATTTTGGGCAGGAAGTTTGTGGCATCGAAGTTCTTTCCAAAACTGCTTAATTTTGACCAAGAAAAACGTCACATGAACATTTTATAGTAATTTTTTTGAATTGTTTTTTCCCTGCTATAAACAATGTATGTTTTTTGGGAAAATAAAATTGTTATTATTATTAGTTGTTGGATGACGTCAACGGCGATCCAGATTTGCTTGAAAGTGTCATAACTGGTGTCGAATCATGAGTATATGGTTATGACATCAAAACCAGAGTCCAATCCTCCCAATGGAAGAGCCCAAGCCAAGACGAAAAAAAGCTCGGCAAGGTCGATCAAATGTAAAGGTTTTGCTCACTGTTTTCTTTGATTACCGTGGCGTAGTGCACCTACTCACTCTTCATTGATAGTTCGTAATTTTTTGACAAAAACAATGCTGTAATCGTGCCTTAGCCACCGTATTCACCAGATTTGCCCCCCTGCGAGAAAAATGAATATTCACCTTAGTTTTCGAACAGACCTCTTAAATAACAAAGTTGGATGGGTCCCCTCTAATATATATTGTCAGTTTGCACACGTTTAGTGAGAAAAATATTTGAATATTTTATTTGGTTCAGTGTTACTATCTTCATTCGGGTTTGAAGGCCGTCGGGCTTCAAATTCAAATGTAAATTACACCTCTTACACCTCAGTAATCGTAAATTAAAAAAACATTTCATTGCGGTTGCTGTATTTCTCGATATTGAAGGAACATTTGACAATGCACTACCTAAATCTATAGGATTCTATTTGGAACGGAGGTGAAATTTCTTGGCATTGTCATCTACAATCAAAACTGACAACAAATAATATTCAGGAAAAAGATAAATCTAAGATTTGTAATCACTTCAATGAATTCTTTACGAACGTGAGAGCTTCTAAACCGAACTTGGAGAACATGAAACGGAAATTTTTCGATAATACTATATTTTTAGGACTATCCACACCACAGGAGATCTATGAAATCATAAACAACGAAAAAAACCTTTGCAAGTGTAGATGATATATGCGGAAAAGCTGTAGGAAAAGTTAATGATTTAATATGTTATCCACTATTCCACATAATAAACATGCCGTTTGTTGACAGACATTATCCAAAGGTTTTAAAGATATCAAAATCGGCCCCAATTTATAAAGGGAAATGATAGATGTGGGCAATTACAGGAATGTATGCCTACAATCCCAATTTGTCAAGGTAATTGACAGCACCTTCAATATACGACTCACTTCTTTTTTGGAAGAAAACAATCTCACTTCAAATTGTCAACACAGGTTTAGACATGGAAAATCCATTGAAACTGCCACTAAAGTATTATGCACACAAATCTATCAATATCTGAATGATAAAAAAATTCCTATTGCTCTATTCTTCGATCTGAGTCGCGCTTATGACACAGTTGATCATATACTATTATTAGATAAGCTCTACAATCTGGGCGTCCGGGGTGTGGGTAATAAGTGGATTGCATGTTACTTAGAAAACAGGACACAGATAGTAATTATTGAATCTGTCAAGTCAAATCCTGCAGATGTAACTGTTGGTGTACCACAGGGATCGGTTCTGGGCCCTTTACTCTTTATTGTTTTTATTAGTGATATAACATATTCATGCAGATCCGAAAATGAAATAATCATTTATGCTGATGATACTAATCAGTTAATTGCGGAGAGTAATCTAGCAAAATCGGTGGAAATATCAAATATTGCAGCAAATGTGTTTTATGAATGGTGTGTCAATAACGGACTATCAGTTAATATAAAAAAGACATTTTTCATGTTATTCCAGCCAAAGAATATTCGTTATGATTATAGTCCATTAATAAGGGAAATTACATGAGGGGTTCCCCAGGGTTCAATCTTAGGTCCCATACTATTTATTATTTATGTTAATGACATAACTCATTTCTTATCTTCAAAACATGTTGAATATGCTGATGATACCACATTACTAGTTTCAATGAGAAACTATGATCAGAATATTGAATCATACACCCTCAAAAGTGCTCAGGAATATTTCACGAATGTAAGATTGTGTCTAAATAATGATAAAACAAAAACGTTACTCTTTACTCTGAATTACAACTTAACCCTGGAGGACAATTTGCCGGTAAAATGCCTGGGACTAACATTAGATAGTAAGCTGACATGGGAGGCGCACATAACCAATCTGAGAAATTATGGAAAGAAATGAACAAGGCTACACTTATCTTCGTTTTTAGTGTATCCTTCAAGATGATTTGTTATAGAAACGAGTGAAAGTATAGAGAGTATATGGTGAAAGGTACTCCTTAATATGTGTCCATAACCAAATATTCGAGATTGATTTCCTTGTGAATTCTATACTTGCGGAAACAGCTGACTCCCGAGCAGGAAAATCATCAAACAAAATGCCTGAATGGGTTTATTTGATGTCGCCAATTTGAAAAATGAATTAGGCTGTGAACAAGATCAATTTGATACGATATCGAATGGTTTGTCGAATGTGTAACCCTTGAAATCGGGCGAAGACAGAATTTGCTCGAGTTGCTTTATAAATATAATCTCAACTCTTCATCAGTAAAGCCACGTAACAGGATAATGAACAAGAAAAATATTAGTTTTGGAAATTTTGGAAACCCAAATCAGAGACTACATCATTTCATTGTATAAATTTTCCAGTTTTATTTGATAAGATCATTGATAAGATGAATAAAACACTATTATTGGAAATAAATACCACTCTGTAGAAAAAATAAGGTGAATTTTCATTTTTCTCAACTTTTTTCAATTTACCAATTTCTTTTTGTCCCCTTCAAAGTATTCTCCTCAGATATAATATCCTTGTGGCAGCATCTTTTCAATCTTCAAAGCAGTTCTGGTATGCACTCTCCCAGTGATTCGGTTATTATCTCCTCAATCATCGCAAAACATCCTTTCATTGGTCTCTTGAAAAGTCCCTGGGGCCCAAATCTTGTGAATGTGGCGGCTCAGGTACGAGTACGGTGTTGTTTTTGACCAAAAATTCACGAACAAGCAATGAAAAGTATGCAGGAGCATTATTGTGAGTTCCTGTTCATTCTCAAAGTTTCTCTACTTTCAACAGAGATGTCCATAAACATATATTTGTTCAATAACATGATTGGTTGCCAAATGAATTGCAAGATTGTATTGGTTTGAAAATTTTTGAATGCAAATTAGAAATTTTTATTAGAGCAATCAGCAACTCGTCCAGATCTAGATGTATATAGTGTATAATAATATAATCTACTCAAAATGAATATAGAGACACATTCTTAAAATCCAATAAGTAAAAAAATATGTATTATTTCACGATAAAAACTTCTGGTGTGTACTCCATACTGATTCTTATCATGTTCCATTCGGTTGTTGTTTACTTTTTTTACCTTGTTTACTTCTTTTTGTACTTTTAGCTACAAAATCTGTAATATGAAAAATTCTGTATTTAGTTTCACGTTACTTTCATTTGTGATAGGTATTAAGTTTTAAAATTCAAACGATGAATGTTGATGTATTGGTAGAAGGATGATACGTAGGGTGTACCTCAACGAATTTCAAGTTGCTAGGGCAGTGGCACTGATCGAAGTAGGGTATTCAAGGCGTCTTGTAGCCCAAATGCTTAATGTGAGTCATTCTGCGGTTTCCAGAGCTTGGAATCGCTCACAAAATTAAGGCATAGTAAACAGAGCCCCTTATCCCAATCGATAAAGGGCAACAACCTGCAAAGAAGATCGTTTGTTACGACTTTAGGCAATTAGGGGTCGCACCGATTCTGCTAGAACACTGCAAAATCGCATTATAGAAGCTACGGGAACGCGAATTTCGACCCAAACGATACGAAACCGACTTCACGAAGTACAACTCCATGCAAGACGACCTGCTAGAGCCCCTAGATTAACTCCAGCTCATCGAGAATCGTAGAAATTTTTGTCAAGAGCATCGTAAATGGAATTCAGAGCAGTGGGCCAATGTAACGTTTACAGATGAAAAAAAAAAACCTGTTATTCAACAATGACGGACGTGTTCGGCAGACGTCCCGGTGAACGCTATTTGGATAACTGTGTGCAAGAAATTGTTCCATTTGGATGTGGATCGATAATGGTATGGGCTGGTATAACTTTGACAGGACACACGAACCTTGTGGTATTTCGGGAAGGGACTTTTCAGCATTTTGAAAACAATGTAAGTTAAATTTAATAGAGGCACCTATAAACTATTTTATCATATAAATGTTTGACAAAATGATACATATTTTTTTACTTATTGCATTTTACGGACATGTCTCTAAATTCATTTTGAGTAGTTTATAAAGGTAATTTAGTATTTTATTAATTATTTTGAACACTATCATTTCATTTTGTATCCATTTACAAATGTAACAGAAAGTACATTTGTTTTATTAAATATTGATTTCTTGCTAATTCATCAATTTCTATTTTGTTTCGTTCTAAGTAGTCCCCCCTGGCTGAATGACTTGGGTTGATTGCCCTTTGGTATTCACCAACAAATGACATTTATTATTATTACTTGTTTAGAAGAATATGTAGAAGAATATGATATACATCTAGCCAGGGACCTGTACTTACTAGTTTAGAGCACAAGATTATTGGAATGGTTGTTCCAAGACTTGGGAGAAAATGGACTGGTCATTCGGCTCCCAAGTAGTAGAAAAAAAAAACTTCTATGCCTAATCTACACATCATTGTAAAGAGTTAATTTTGAACTTGATTCCTTTTTTCCTTCATTCAAGTTTTCCACATTTTTTGTATAAAGATTCAGAAGTAGAAAGCCCAAACATTTTTTTTTCACAAAAACCAATGACTCCTTGAAAATACACCTTTCAATTTAAACAAATAAGCTATTTCAGTGAGACTCTACAGTTGGACATTACAAATTTCGAATCAAAGAGACATTTTATCATTGTTCACACTTATTTATTTTAAAATATAAGAATATAGCAGCAAAATAAGTATAATCATAACAGACAAATTTGAAAACGTCACATTCAGTGTGAACAGATAAAGTTTTTGCTTCCGTGGCGGAACAAGCAGAATTTCAAAATACTTCCTAAAATTTTCGTTTCTCTTCCAAAATATGAATGTTTAAATGGAAAATCCACTCACAGTTTAAACTCATGGTGAGGTATGTTGCTGGTACTTCGATAAATGGTGACTAAAGGTTCTGGAAGGGAATCTGGGTTGACAGGAACTTGAACACCTCTTTCCCACTCCTGTTTCCACTGATCTTGAATAACCCAGTACTCATCTGATGCTAACGGTTCAGAATCGGGTAGTTTCATAGCGCTAATTAGATCCTTCCTGAAGAGTTCAGCCGGCGCTTCCGTCGTCGTCCGATTATAGATGCTCTTCAAGTCACTTGATCTTGGCTGCCAAGATCCGCCAGCCAAGGAGGCCGCTTCTTCTTCCTCGGCCGTCGTCCGCTGTGAAAGAGACATTTTCAATAAATATCATAAATTCATCGATGGGCAAAGTCACAAGATAATCCTTGCCCTACATAATAATAATAATAATTCTTTATTTCCAGTAGGACAATAAAATTGTGTAGGAAGTGTCAATACAATACAAATTAGAAAAGAAAAGATGAAGACAGGCTCATGCTCTAAAACTAAGATGACTATGCATTATTCAAAGAATTCCTGCAAAGCATAAAAACATTTTTCTAATAAGTATTTTTTTAATGATTTTTTCAACAGAGAAAAACTATTCAAGTCCTTTAAATAATCTGGAAGGTGATTATATATCTTTGACCTATGTATTCTGGTCCACATGATGTTACTTTGAATCTAGCTAATGGCAAATGAAAATGGTTCTTGGTTCTAGTATCATGTTGGTGAAGTTTTAGATTTGTTGTAAATCTTGATTTATTTTTGGACACATACATACACAGTTAAAAAATATAAACTGATGTTAAAGTTAAAACACCGTACTCGTTAAAAAGTGCCTTGCATGATTCTCTATTAGAAAAATTTGCTATGCACCTCAGAATTCGGTTTTGTGCCATAAAAACATTTCCTGCTGTGTAGGAGCCACCCCAGAAACAGATACCATACCTAAATCTTGATTCCATTTGAACATAATATATATTTAGCAGCTGACTCTTTGTTAAAACTGTTTGTAAATTGATGAAGAGAAACTTCAATGAATTAAGTTTTGATATTAATTGTTGACAGTGGCCTTTCCAATTTTGGAACCCATCTAAAATGATTCCCAAGAATCTTACATTGTGATCAGTATTTGTTAGGGTTACATTGTTCACCATAAAATGTATGTTTTCCACTCTGTTTTGTCCACATAGGCTAATAGTAACTTTTCAATAAACTTTCTGAGGAAATACAAATCTTGGACGAAATCCATAAATTCATGGCTGATATAAAATCTCTCCTCATTTAAGTAGAACCATATATAATTGGAGGATTATCAAGCTTTCCTTCTTAGATTTAGGGAGACTGAAAATTAACTGGGTGTTTTGTTTTTGCAATAAAGATTATTGTCATTTGGAAACCAACAGTTTCGAAAACCATAGCTATTCCAATAAGAAAATAGAAGCTAACAAGTATTTCTGAAATGGCAGCTTTTCCATGTTATAAAAAGTTAGATCTCCTCTTTTGTAAGATTGACTTATTGGTGACAATTTGAATAGTTATTATTTCAAAAAAATTGTAATTATCCCATAGTTTACTGCTTTCAAAACGTTTTTCAACCTATTCAAAGAGGTGTTGAAAAAAGTGAACATTTTCATAATTAGAGGACATATTTCATCAGGGAAAAACTCACTATAAGACTAATTTTGAATTTCACTATGAAATATTATAGTGAAAATCAAAACAAACCTTATCAGTAAGTTTTGATATTGATTTTCATCAAGCTTCGTACAGTTCTGTTCAATTTTTGACATAAATAGGACTAAGCTATTGTATCATAACCAGGTCTACAAAACTAGTAAGGGCATAGACCAGGTTTGGTATTTTGGTTGAAGAATAGCTAGATTTGTATTTTATTCTACTCAATCATAATACCTCATTAAGATAATCAAGAGAACGTTTATACATTCTATCAACAACCATTTGATACATTAACAATTACTCTGTTTATGTCAACAATTTCAGTCTCCTGATAGTATTTCTATTGTAGTTTGATTTGCATTTTGGAGAAAGATATATATTTTTAGCCCTCTTTTCGAGTAGACTGTGATAAATGTAGTTGATGCATATTTATAATCAATATCAAACAAAAATACAATACAATTATCTTCGTAAGGACCATTACTTTCATCAAATTAATGACTAGATATGCACTAATTTCTACTTACTTTGCGCCTTTTAACAGGAACATTGCCATCTTCAAAACGATTAGGCCTTTTTACTCTCTGTGACATTGCACTCAGCTTGTGCGGGTAAGCAGATTTTTCTCCACATCCTGAAAAAAGTTTGTTTTTCAGAAATCAATTTGGTCCATGAAGAATCTACATGAACAATCCCAAATTATATTTCACAACGGAAGTAGGTACATCCTTGGACTACACAAGATACTTTGAATATGATCCAAATCAATTAAAGTTATACTCACTACATAGCTATCCAGTACGTGAATGAAGACTATGTATATCATTCTGTAACAAGGAAAATCGGAGTATTAGGGTTTTTTCCAAAACTTCATTTACATTATCTCAAAATACGGAATAAATATTGAATATAGTCCGATATTCGAAATCATTCTCATTAGCTGCTGCAATTAAAATGGAAAAAATGTAAGTGTATCCTTATAGCCTTTGGCAATTCTTCATCAATTTCATAGGAGTAACTTCTCTCCTTGAAAATGCATTAAATGCATTTTTCATCATGCAATATAGGACAAATCCATGCTATTTTGAAGGATATATATATTTTTTGAGGAATAATCTGGCAGAATAATGACAAACAGCAGAGGTGTCTCCCATGTCTACATTGTAAACATTTCACTGTAAAGCTAACACTCGCACGCACAATATTTCACACATCTTCAACAAATATATTTTAATGAATTATCCAGTATTTTACCATTTCAAGTGATTGTATTGTGCTCTCGGGTTAATTCTTCAAAGAATTGTGATTAAATCGACTCCATTAGACTCCATTTGGTAAGCCTAACAACATTGACAACGTAGGTGGCAGCACTGTAGTCAGTCGACACAGCAAGAAGTAAAATCATATTGGTATATCTCCATCTTTTTTCCCTAGTTCATATTTCATTATTTTTCTATCGTTCGCTAATTTTAATCAATATGATTCGTTAAATTACTAATGGTGCAGTTAAAAATGAAAATTACCATTTTCATTCAATATTTGATTTCTTTCAAATAGAATTTTATATAAAAAAGCCGATTAAAGACAACATCTTTCTTCTCCCTTTTCTATTACTAACATGTCCTCATTACATATTTCAAGTTGTTCGATATGCTTATAATTGAACCTTATGTAGATGACTCTCCTATTTTATTATCAATGAAGAGTGATACCTTTGAAAAAGATTGAGAAGCATATAAAAATCCAAAATAAAAAGTAACACACGAACTAAAATTTCAACTTGGCGCCATCAATAATGAAATAACGGGTTCCTGTCTCTGACGAATACCACGTGACTGAAATCCAGAATTAATCAAAATAATAATTTTGGCGGGGATATGATGTATGAATAATTTTTATTGCGTATTTATTTTGACACTTATATGTTTGGAGTTGACAATTCGCTTTTCTCCTTTCGACTGATTTTAATATTTTTTGCACATGCATATAATGTAAAATCAATAGATTTTTCATTTTTTGTATATAAGTAAATGATCACCACAGGTTGGGTAGATCAGTGTAGATTCACCACTTTTATTTGCCTTGTATTCATAATCAGCTATTTTGTGTCAATATTGTAATTTTCAAACAATTGAATCAGAAACATGTATTATTATTGGATATGTGAAACATTTTCCATCCACATATACTGAAAATACTATACGTTCCGTTTTCCCGCTTTTTTTTGAAAGTATGTAATTAGTGACAGTGTTTTCTGCAAAAACACCATAGAGCACTCAAGTTTGAATTATATTTCCATGATGTAGAGCGAAATAGCGTTCGGTTAATCACCGAATCATCAATAATGTTAAATAGTCATTGGAATTTGTTGTTGGATGGTGAATACAGACCAATAGGAGGCAAATTTTTCAATCAATTATTGAATCAAAAAAATAATACAATCTTTTCAAGAAATATTTCATTGTAAGATTTTCACTAAACAGTTTTACAAAAACGTAACACGTATTTCGCTACATAACAGCTTCTCCAGGCACTAACTAAAATCTACATATTCAATGCTTTATATATGTTATTACAATTTGAAGTATCTACATTTTGAGTATCTGAGTATCAATAAACATTAACAGAGAGGAAGAGAAAGTGTATAACTCCATTTGAATAAACCTGTAATGAATGAAATTACCTGGGCTCATGTACCAGTTTTCACATTTGAAGAAATATTCAGTTACGGGAAGTTATTTTATATGATCATTTAGTAAATTACCAGAATTCTCAAATCTATTTATTTCTGAACATTCTAAAAGACTGAGTTTCAAACTTTTCTTAAATGTACATAGTCATGACTGAACTTATGTCCTTCTGCTAAAAGATGGTTCGCAAATGTGAAATTGGTCTTTCCATTCAATAAATTACTTCTACGTTCTTTAAATCTTTGGGAAAAAGTTCACCGTTTGGCCAATATGAATTTTCATACAAGAGCCACAAATCAGGCCGAATGAACATTTGAAAATAGCACTTTTGTTATTTTTCAATGAAGTAGCCAACCGTATTCTCTTAAAAATGATTGTTCATGTTTCACTGTCATGTGTTTAATGATTGGCGAAACTGATATAAAATTTAAAGAAGACGTGTACTAACCCTTAATTGAAATACTGTATTTTCGAGTTACTGTTGCCTCTCTATATCACAAAACTATAACTTACTATTACTCTAAGTTATAGTTCTGTGCTGTATATGCTCTTGGATAGTAGTTTTAAGTGATATCGAGTATTACTGTATGTTCGAATGAGATTTTGTGAGTGCCTTCTTTGTTGAGAGCGTGTTCAGCTACAGCTGATTTGTCGGTTTGTCTGAGTCGACAATTTCTCTTGTGTTCAGAGAGATGGGTAATCGCATTTCTTTTCGTGGTTCCAATGTAGACCAAGGAACTCGATATACCGTGGGTGTTGCTAATGATTCTCTAGGGTCCTTAGCCAACCTTAGACTTTGTCTGATAGTTTTTGTTAGCCGTTGGTTGCACAGTTATCTTCGGCTGTGAAAGTTTACATTCTTTGGTTAACTTATTGTTTGTTTTCAATTTAGTCAGAAGAATAACATACATTGTTATATTTATTCTTTATTGACAATAAAATGTTACCCATCAAATAGATTTAAACAAATATATAATGGTAGTTCATTCTCAAAACACTTCTGTGTTGGTACATAAAACTTAATGTTTGGTAACTGTTGACTATTGTTACACGCCAGTGTTTACTGGTCCTCCATAAAGAATCCGATCTCTACATTTTACTCTCCCTCGTCTATTGGTCTATAAGTTGAAGTAAACCATCAGAAATGTTTCGTTTTGAATTTAAGAACAATACATCTGTGTTAACTGTCAATTTTCTACTTTTGGAGGCCATTCAATAGAAAAGAAGCAGAAGAAGTACTTTTGATTTTTGGGTTTTGTTTACCAGAGATCTTAGTTTACAACCTAAACAACCTTAAATTTGATATATACAAATTATATTACATTACAGTTGAAGTAATGTTGAACAGTTCATCTATTTAACAAAGTAGCCCAGTTGTATAAAATTTTATAAGACATGGATCAGGTAATAAATAAAATTGTTATTTGTATCCCAAATATTAAAAATTAATTTCAGATTAAATTGAAAATTGACCAAGCTTGCAGAGTAGCTGAAGAATTTACTAAACTTTATTATGAGACTGTGGACAAAAGACGACATGTAAGTTCATAAATATTTCGGGTGAACTGTGAAGTAATTGAAGAGTGTAACTTCTGGTAGTAACATTCTAAAACTGATCAGTAGATCAGTTTTAGAATGTTTAAGATTTTGTCATATTTAGAGTCTGTACCACTGCACACATTACAATTGTATTCCTTTGAAAATGTCCTTGCAGGACGAAACTACTGTAACATTAGTTACAGTACAAGTGATATAAAAACATAGGAAGTTTTGTCATTATTATTGATAAAATAAAATATATTTTTAGGAGAGATTAGTTTCTACTAACACATTTTTGACTTTCTACTTCTCCATCTGATTAAAATTCACCCTCTTCAATTTTTCATTTTTAGTTGATATCAAGATTATACCTGGATACTGGAGTGTTGGCCTGGAATGGTAATGGTGTAACTGGTAATGAAAATATACTGAAATTCATGATAGATTTGCCTGCAACAGATCATGTTATAAATACGCTAGATGCTCAGCCGATATTAGGTATGCTTTTAATAATACACTTCCATTCAGTTAGAACAATTTAGTTGTGATTTTCATAACAAAATTTTAATTCAGAAATATACTATACTCACAATATTCGTTGGGCACAATGTCAAAGGAAGAGAAAATAGAGATTTGTCCTCCCTATTTCATTCTTTAGGCTTTGTAAACATTCGTAATATCTACCTCAGTCCTGTGCTTAACATGGTCAGAATCTTAAAAGTATTATAAATCGGTCACCCCAAGGCAAGAAGTTGATTTGTGGTGAAAAACAACTTTTTTCTGAGCCACTTGCTTAGAGAACACCAGATGAATCTTTGTAGTTCTCTGCTGCCCAGATTGGCTTATTAAAACCAAGTTTAAAATATGAACAGAAGTCGAATTCTTATTCGATATTCTACGGTTCAAATCAAAATGAAAATGTGGCTGTCAGGTTTATTGCTATCAGGAGAATTTAAATATCTAATGGTTTCATGCCAGCTCTTTTAACAACCACAAATCTTATACTATATTAGAATAACACTTTTCACTCCTTTTGGGGAAAGAGACCAGCCAACCAACATGAAAAAAAAAAACGCTAATCGAATGTACGTAGCCCGTGAAATTTGAACATTCACAACAGTTCACATATAAATATTGTCATGTGTCAATCATGTGTCATCTATTTTGTTTTCTTTACAGATTCAGCTGTTAATGGACAATTAACTTTCATGATTCAAGTAACCGGATCGGTCAAGTATCAAGAAAAGACCCCAAAATCTTTTCAACAGAACTTTATAGTGACTGCTCAAGGAGACAAGTGGAAAGTTGTGAGTGACTGCTTCAGGCTACAAGAACCTCTCAATTCCCAAAATAAATGATGTTAAGGATAAGATAGGACTAATAAACAAATAAAAGATACTATTCAAATTTTATATTTTGACATTTTTTAATAAAACGAGTACAAAAATCTTAATTTACAGTCATAATAAGCACACAGAAATATTTTTCTCCTATTGGGGAAGAGCATTACAAAATTCAACATTTTCAGTCATATGACAAAGGCTCTTAAAAAAAAAACAAAACTGAATTGAACCAGCAATTTTATGGCTTCATAACCTCATGAGGATTGTATAGATTGATAATTTAGAATTCGATTCTATGCTCAATTCAGTGTGTGGCCTAATAGACCTTCAGTCAACTTTCCCGTACTTTTGATAAGAACAATACAACATATTAGAATTAATCCTTTCATTCAATGATCACAATAGGATTTGAAATTGAAACAACACTTGTTTAACATATAATTTGATCTCAGTCTCAAAGGTTCAGATATTAGTGGACATTTCAGACCGTGGGAATGCTAGTTAGACGGACTTGAATGACACTTTTTGTGAGCAGGGGGCACAGCCAATATCAGTGCATCAATTTTTTCTCTCACGGAATACAAAGTGAAACGTATCACAATTACTAAATACCGCAATGAACATTGTGCCGAAAAACGTGATTATATACAAAAGTGTGATACAAACATGAAATATCATGAAAAAATTCTTTCATATTAACTATATGTAGTTTTAACCACCAATTACTATAACGTAAATTGTCACACCCAAACACTCCAAGGATAATGAGCTGCTACAACAATCCTACATTACAGCGCAACAAAAGTTGATAATTTATTACAAATTTGGCTCATCAGGCGGCAAATTGTTAACAATATCGAGATCTGGAACTCCTCCGACTGCCCCTTCTTCATTTTCAACCCCCAAATGTACATCGACTGGCAATACTTGTGGTATTGCGTTCATCAGCGAAGAAGCAATTGGATTTCCTCTAGAATCCAACTCTAAAACGGGATCAGCGGTGGCCTCGGCCAGATTAGTTACGCTCTTCGACTTCACACACTGGAAGTCAACGTGTCGGCTTTTCGCTTCTTCCTTTTCCCAGGACATGTGAATGAAGGGCCTCTGGACATAGTTGTATATAACTTCCGCCCTTCCGCCTGGACGTTTTTTGACTTTTTCCTTATAGGTTGGGTAACCTGTAAGTGTTAAAATCCATTCATTAATTCAAAACACATTACATTATACTTTATTACCAAGTGTATCCAAATAATACACAATACAATTTACATTGAACAAAAGTAATTTTTTGTAGAGGAAAATCAGTTTTTTATCCACCTTCCTTGAGTATTTTCATGTTCCACAATACTATTTTTCAGATTGTGGAATGAAAATACCCAAGGAAGGTCGATAAAAACATTCATACACACATGGGAAATACATATAAAAAAATACAATTTGTATAGAATCATTCATCAGAAGCCTTAAGAGATTTGTTTTGGTTAATTTCCACTAACTGTAATGTGGACCATCAAGCTATGCAATTGTATAAACAAAAAATTAAAGAACACATATTAAATATAAAAAAGGCGACAAAACTGAGGTAGACAACTACAGACAGATATCTTTACTTTGTTCCCTCTCTAAACTGTTTGAGAAAGTTGTTAGTAACAGAATTCTGAATTACATGGATCAAAATAATCTTTTTAGTAATAACCAATATGGCTTCAGGAAGAACAAATCAATTGAATCAGCTTCATACCATTTATTAAATTTCATTTATACACAGGTTGACTCGAATAAACTAGTTGTAACACTTTTTTTCGATTTGTCAAAAGCATTTGATACNCAAAATATAGCTCTCATGAACTCCTAAAACTTTTGTATGAAACATTTTTGTGTATCTCCTTCAACAAACCAGATATTGCCTGTCACATAAAATGTGGGACACCCGGTATAGTCAAAAACTGGTTATTCTTTATTTTGCTATTAGACAGTTCTACTTAAGTTCTTGTCTGAATTATCTACCATTTTTTAAACAAAAATATCTAAAACATTGACAAAATGAAAAAAATGATAATGAAAGTAAAGTTGAAATATTCAGTATTCCATGTTCTCTACCATAGAATATATTCCAGAACATGGTCCACAGGTCTGATTCCAGAGTTGCACCTTCAAAACCTTCTCAAGCCACACATTTGTGTTGCTTAGATTATTTCACCAAATAAAGTAAATGGCTTCATTAAGTTGATCGAGGAGCCCCAATAAACCCTCGCGGGTTGCACCCGCTCATTTTGGACCCATATACCTATTTAGTTTTCTTAGAGTTGAAGACCATTTGATTGGCATCGCACCACCTTTTTATTTCAGTTAGATCTAAGGAGATCAATTGGCCGAGAATATTCTTATCTTTAGTGTGCCACTCTATAGTTGCATCATCTGCAAATAAAGTGAACCTACCACTAATATTCAAGTTCGTGAGATCATTCACATATAGCAAAAATAATATGGGCCCCAAGACAGAACCTTGTGGAACTCCGCTGGTCATAAAATTAAAGTTTCTCTAGTAGTAAATGATGGTTTACACAGTCAAAAGCTCTGCTTAGATCCCACAATGTTACATTTCAAACAGTTCCCTATGGTCTTGTTAGAATTATTACTCACTCAAGTTTTGGCATCGTACTGTATTGGCATCAAAGGGTACAAGAAGGTAGTCGCAAGCTTCTCTCAACTCCTGTACGGAAACTGAGGGTGGACATTTGATGAGACCTCCTTTGTAAAATTCCAAAATAGCTCTGAAAATAGAAGCTGGTATGCCTTCGGCTACTTCAAATTCCCCGCGATCATTAGGATGGGTAAATTCTAGAGATGTGCTGAACATCCTTCCTAACATTGTATTTGGATGGGCTGTGAATATTGCTGGATCAACTACGAATCTTGTGTTGTCCACGACAAGGGTTACCCTATCCTCGCTCATATTGCCTGAACCGTTCGTTTGGGATGCCGATTTGATGGATCCGGTAGATTGTATAAGTGTGCGCGACCTAAAAAATGAAGCTGTTGATGTCTATGTGAGCTGGATAACTTACAGTCCTTGCCTATTGCGAGGAGCATTGAGACATTGCTTAGGCGTAGCTACTGAATGGCACCTAGTTTCCGTTAGGGACATGGACCTCTGTACAAGGCATGACTTTGGCTTCGACATTGATCCATAACTTTGCAAAGCAATATATTTGTTAATAACTATTATTAATTGATTCAATAAAGCTATACAACCAAGGACATATTAGAATATTATATGATATTCATATATTTTAAAGTAAGTTAAACACGTATATATGTAGTGTTCTCATTTGAAAGTTAATACAAAAAAAATGACAGATCATAACCCACAAGAAATGACTGTGAGATCGTACTCCTTCCACACCTTGAGTCACCCTAAACTGTTTGAAAACGAAGGGTATGAAGTAGCCCCCTCTCAGAAATGTACTTTTTTTTCAATGTGAGAGACAATTGATGCAGATCATTCTATTTGTAAAAAACATCTCGAAAAAAAAAGTAAAATACGTTCAATAACTTCATAAATTTATCTCATATCGAAACATACAACATGTAATATGAAAAACATAAGAACTGAATCTGTATCGTAAGATACATATTTTATATATTTTCCAATACTAATTTTTATTACTATTCAATACCTTTTTGATGTTTCGATTCAATAGAACTGGCAGATACTTGATGAAAATCCATATTGAACCAAATAATATACTTTTTTTATGATTTTCACAATAAAGGGTTATACAAAAACTGCGACACGTATTTCGCTACACAATAGCTTTCTCAAGCATAAAAATATAAAAATAAAACGCTTGATAAAACTACTGTATACAGAAACACGTGTTGCGGTTTTTGTAAAACCCTTTATAGTGAAAAACATACAATATACTGTATTAATTGGGATTAAAAGTGACTTTCAATTCGAGCTGATAACGCCACAGTTTGCATATAAATTCAACAGTAATTTATGATTCTTGAAAAATATAATAAGGTATGTGACAAAGATAATGACCAACTACAATAATCAGACAAACACTACTTTGTAAAAAAAACAACACAACATCAACCCTTTTTAACATGCATAAACTTCATTAGGAATAAAACTAGCTTTCATGGTCAAATGCTGTAAAAAGTTGGTCAGAAAATCACATTTTAAAATTCAAACTAAAGCTAAATCAGACTTGAGAATAAATGAAATCATAAAACTCAGAAAAACAATTATTGAATTGGAGAAACTGATAATTATATATTAAACTATTGAGGTACAGTACTGGGAATGGAAAATTTTTAAGAACCACACTGTATTTGATTAGTGGAATTTGTAACCTCTGGATTAAAATATATCTGAGAATGAGAGACAGCATTTTTGTTCAGGTGAAGAAAAAACTACTGTTGTACTCAAACGTGTATTGGAAATATAGACTATATTGCGAAGATTTGTGTAAACATTACCATGAATGAAAGGAAAAACTGGAACATCTCGTTTAGAATAAATCCAAAAACAAGCCCTTTCCCAATCGCCAGAATTTCAATACTCTTCTCGGCAAACGTTTCACCAACCAAGTTGGCATCTACAGGAGATGAAGGAAACGGAAGACGATAACTTGGTTGGCGAAACCCTCTCGAGAAGAATATTGCATTTCTGGTGAGTGGGAAAAATGCTTATTTTTGGAATTGTCATAGATATAATGATATATAAAGTTATACAATAAATTGATGAAACCAAAGTGTTAATAAAATTACTGTCATGTTATGTATCTCTAGTATGAATCAAGTGAATTCAACAAGTGAATTCATAACCATCACTAACCAGGTCATCATTTAGAACAAACGTTTTTTTGCTCCTTAACAAAGGAAAAAACCTACACACAAACATCTGAAAAATTGTAATTCAGATAATCATCTAGACATATTTTTACCTCATGCGATTCTTGAACACCCTTCTTCTTCGATCATCCGTGTAGTCTTCGGTATCACTACTTGTGTCGTTATTTGGATAGGGTGGTCGATCATTAGCCCCAGCCATTTGAACACTAGGCAATAAGCACTTCACAAACACATAAAAATAATCCGCACAAATTTCTCTGGAACCAATCCAGAACATAGAAAAACCCTACGGGTAAGAAAATTCATGAGAAATTTCTGGATAGGTCATTTTACTCCAATTTTTTGTTGAGAAATTGATTGATAAATCTGACACCTGACATTACTTTAGTATATAATTTTATTTCTGAGGTTGCCAGTCTTGGTATTTATTCGTAGAGTCACAGAACACCGTTGTTGTTAGGGTAGAGTATTGAGTCTGGCTTCTGAAGCTCATAAGCCCGTTTATAATTAAGCTCTCCACTTTGGCAGTCTTTTGGTTAAGTTCTTATCAACCTAACTTAGCTCTCTGTGTGTGTTGGGGACTGACTATGAAGGGTTACCTCAACCCTCCATAGAACTAACAAGTACTATTATAACTTACAATTTGTACCTATAATAGACATTCATATATTTTCAAAATACAATCTTTCGTCCTTGTATTATTTTCACTCCCTGATTTTTTTTTACTTTTCACAGCTGGACCATACACCCTTTTATTTTATCTTAGCACTTATGTAACTATGGTGTATGAACGCTCCTACAGATTGTGACAATTTCCCTGAAGTAAAAGTGTTGTGTACGATGTGTCAGGTATATTTAATGCAAAAACTACTTCAAAAGTCAATTTTTTTTGTTTATACTATTTTTATTTTGTTTGTTGCAACACAAGTACTTTTGGGAAAGAAAGGTTTTGAATTTTTACTTCTCCATCTTGATACAAAGAAAATGTGAGAGATATCCTTAATTTTTTTATATCAAGATGGAGAAGTAGAAAGCTGAAACCTTTTTTTCCCAAAAATTAATTTCTTCTAAAAATAAACCCTTTCAATTTAAAGACATGTATTTTGTTTTGTGTTGGCTACTCTGTCATTTGTCATATGTAGTTGAAGTTTATATTATCCATTTTCATTTTATTTTTTCCTTATTTGCTGTTTTTATTTTATATATTCATTTTTCATCAGTATTTTCAATCAGTTGAGGCAACGGTCAACAATTAACTTGGCAACTTATTGGACGATTCTTGGATATTATTGGGATATCATTCAGTTTTTTAGTTACATATTTGTGTAACTTTAAATCACTATGAAAAATAGAGCAGACTGTTGGCATGCGGTATAAGTAGATATATCAACATTAATAAAACACTAGAAACACGTAATGTAGGGAACAAATAGCTTGTATACACTCTGTCTTAGACATTTCAATGAAAAAGTAACAATCAATATCTTGTAAACAGTAAAATAAAACTAAATATTTAAAAATACCATAACTTTCTTCATATTAACTTATTTCTTATTTGAAATAAAATCAATGGGAGTTATAGACCTCGCCTTCAAGGATATTTTTTGAGAATAATTGCAGGATACGTCAGTGACAAGGTAATATATCATACCTATCAATAAAAATATTTGTACTGTCATTCAATCGATCGTTTGATTTGTTATTTTGAATTCTAATATTTTCCATATTCACAAATGAAATGAAACAATCAATCCTCATCACTCTGAGGGAAGGACCTCTGATTTTTTACTTTGTGAGATGTCATTTTGAGGAAAAGAGAGAGAATAGTTATTCGGTGGTTACCATTGAAATATGTTAAAGGAAGAGAGAAGTAATTTGTTTTGTATAGAGCTATTTAAAAAAACTGATTGATTAAAGCCACAGAATTTGTTTACTATTCTGTGTCAAAGCGTTAAAGTGACACTGACATATGTCATGATAAGGAGCCAGGAGCATTCAAAAGGTATTCTGTCATTTGTGTAAGGTCAGGTCGGTAATTTGTGGTGAACGTGTTACGGTGTGGCTCTTGGAAATAACTTCACTGATATGGCCGATGAAATAAAAGAAGTCAATGAAAATGGAGTAGAAACTCCGGTTAAATCTGCTAAACAGCTTGCTAAGGAGGCAGCGAAGCAAGCCAAGTTAGACAAATTAAAGCAAAAGTTGGAGAAGAAGCAAAACGTAGTCCCAAAGAAGGAAGAGGTATGTTGAAATTTGTATTGAGAAACATATGGTACCTAATTGTTATATTTTTCCGCGAAGAAAAAGGAAAAGAAAAAAGAAACTAAAGAAGTTGCTTCTTATAACATCCCTACTCCGGAAGGTGAAAAAAAAGATATTATCAATCCTTTACCTGATGCCTACAGTCCCAAATATGTGGAAGCTGCTTGGTATAGTTGGTGGCAAAAACAGCAGTTCTTCAAACCAGAATATGGAGTGAGTTTCAAATTTAATAATTGAAGTTCTCATTCTGAATATTCCTTTACAGCGTAAATCACTCCTGGAGACAAATCCTAAGGGAAATTTCACGATAGTTATCCCACCACCCAATGTCACCGGTTCATTACATTTGGGACATGCTCTTACAAATGCTATTCAAGATTCAATTGTCAGGTGGTAAGTAATGACAAAGATTATCACGTAAATATTCATCAGAATTGAAGGTCTTTTCTAGTTTGAATGGTAATTAGAAAGGATAGATCAATGAACAATATGACTGAAAATTAATGTTTGATAGTTGATACAGGATGAATTCTAAATAAAAATATTCATGATATAAAAGTTATTTTAGAATCATAGACAATATTCATTGATAGTGTTGTGTCATTTTTTTCTCCAGATACTTTCATTGAATTTGGGCTTCCCTGTATGCTAGTTACTTGTAAAAAATAATGAATTTTGTTTTGAAGGCATCGGATGAAGGGTGAAACTACTTTGTGGAATCCAGGTTGTGATCATGCCGGAATTGCAACACAGGTTGTAGTAGAAAAAAAACTGTGGAGAGAAGAGAAAAAATCCCGGCATGATATTGGACGAGATGAATTTGTTCGGAAAGTGTGGCAGTGGAAGGACGAGTAAGTTGAAGAGTATATACATTAATCATACTTTAGTAGGTTCAGGTTCATGACGCTATGACAATATTGCAAAACTCAACATTTATGTTGCTTTTTTCAACAAGTTTTTATCATAAGATACAATTTGCAGAAAGGGTGTGAGGATATATCATCAACTTAAGAAAATGGGTTCATCGTATGACTGGGATAGAACAGCCTTCACCATGGATCCTAAAATGTGTAAAGCTGTTACAGAAGCGTTTGTGAGACTGCACGACGATGGAACTATTTACAGATTCAATCGGTTGGTAAATTGGTCCTGCACTTTGAAGTCGGCAATATCGGATATTGAGGTAATACAAAGCAAAAGTAGTTTTCTGCCATTCATAGAATATTTTATCTTCTTGTTTGTTCTTTTATGCGTGTTACTTCAGGTAATCCTTTGTGTTGGATTTTCTCTAGGTTCACTGTTTCTAGCACTGTTTCNTGGCACATGATATATGAGGAGCTGTTTTCTCGGATTTCGCTCCTCATAAGGATTTTTACGTTTCGGCAAAGTCTCATGTGCCATCTTCTGATGGTGTCTGGAGTTTTTCAACTTCAGATATCACCAGAAGATGGCACATACTATATGATTAACTGTTTTCTCGGGTTTCGCTCCGTGTTCTGTGTATTTTATCCTCATAAGGATTCTCACAATGTTTCGGCAAAGTCTCATTTGCCATCTTCTGGTGATGTATAGAGTTTTTCACCCCCTTTCGATTTATATGCCGCACCCCTTTGTGGACGTGGCCCTAGTAACTTAAGTGCAGCCAAAATCAGATAGCAAGCAATCAAAAATGATTTATTTTCTGTAGGTAGACAAAATGGAAATTCCTGGTCGAACATTTTTGTCGGTTCCTGGATACGAAGAAAAAGTAGAATTTGGTGTTTTGGTACATTTTGCTTACCAAGTTGAAAACTCAAATGAAAAGGTAATAGTAGCAACGACCCGTGTAGAAACAATGCTGGGTGATACGGCTATCGCAGTCCATCCTGATGATGATCGCTTTCGTCACCTTCATGGAAAATTTGTGACACACCCATTTTGTAATAGAAAACTTCCCATAGTGGCAGATGACTTTGTAGAACTCGGTTTTGGTACTGGAGCTGTGAAAATCACTCCAGCTCATGATCCGAATGATTATGAAGTTGGAAAGAGGCACAATTTACAGTTCATTACAATTTTTGACGATGAAGGTAATATTTCTGGAGATTACGGGAAATTTACCGTAAGTTTTCAACAACGTTTTTTCATTCCCACTACATCGAATTTTTTCAGGGAATGAAGAGGTTTCATGCTAGAAAGGAAATAGTTGAAGAGTTGAAGAGAATAGGGATGTATATTGAAACTACGAATAACCCGATGGTCGTACCTATTTGCAGCCGCAGTAAAGATATTGTAGAACCGATGCTCAAACCCCAATGGTAATATTTAAATGAACATTCTGAAAATTAGCTTCATAATTTTTTTAAGGTATATCAAATGCGGAGAAATGGCATCAGAAGCAGTAAAAGCGGTTGAGTCTGGTGATCTGAGAATCATTCCAGAAATGCATGTGAAAACCTGGCACCACTGGATGGAAGGTATACGAGATTGGTGCATTTCCCGCCAACTGTGGTGGGGACACAGAATTCCAGCTTATTTTGTGACCTTCAGAAGTAAACCAAATGAAAAGTTGGCTGCCAAAGTGAGTAAAATCATTATCATCCCTTACTAATGACAAAAGTATGATTTCAATTTCTCAGCAGCTTCCTATTACCTTCTTGATTACATTTACACACAAACTGATTCTATTAATTACGTCCTCTCATTATTTTTCACTTGAAGGCATTCGATAAATTTTGTTTGAAATTTCTCGCAAACAAAATAGGAATTCGTGGTTTTTCATCTAAAATCATAAATTGGATCAAATCTTACTGGAAAGTACTATGTATGTTTTTTGTGATTATTCACTATCTCTCTATCTTGCTATGAAACTTAGAGTTATTATTAATTCCTTTATTTAGCATAAGCTAATATACAATATGTTTGATCCTGTCATTGGGCTATATATATATTATTTCGCTACACAA